CTGACTCGGTGAACCTGACCGGCGATACCAAGTTCTTGACCCAGTATGCGGGCTGTCGAAGCTGGGAGGCCTCAATGGGCGCTCCTACGGTTGAGGAGTAAAACTGAGGCTCAACAGAGCCTCTGAAGGTGCCCTTCTCAAGCTCGCCCATTGCTTGCAAGTACTCGTCGGCCATGGGCTTCATGTACTGCGAGTGATAAGCAATTTCGACGTTGAGTTTCCTGGCAAACACCTTCTCGGCGCTGAGCATCTCGACAAGCGCTTCGATCTTTCCAGCATCACCACTGACGGTATGGCTGTCAGCGCTGTTCATGCAGGCAATCTGAAGAGTGCCTTCGCCGCCGAGCTGGTTAACGCGATCGATGGCAGCTTCGGTCTTGGCGGTGTCGAGGCCGATGGCAGCCATGCTGGTCTTGGGACGGGACTCCGCACGCATCAACTTGGCGCTCAGTCTTCCGCGGTGGTAGGCGACCTTCCAGGCTGCCTCTCTGGAAAGTGCACCGGCGGCATATGCAGCGGCAACTTCTCCTGAAGAGTGTCCAGTGATAGCGTGGGGGTAGATACTCCATGAAGCAAGGAGATCAACCATGGCGACTTGGAGGGCGGTGCAGATGGGTTGGCAGAACTCGGGATCATCGATTCGAGAGGATGTCTTCGTCTTGGAGAGCTCGACTAGTTGGCTAGTTAGTGGGCGACTGCATGTAGCCGAAACATTGATTACTCACATGTCAAAGACCAGTTGCAGCCAAGATCGCTGAGATACCGGTCCGCTGCAAGAAGACTCTCTTGGAAAGCCCGGTAGACCATGAGGTCCATGCCCATGGCTGCCCATTGTGCACCTTGACCAGTGAAGACGAAGCCTAACCTGGGCTGTGACTTGGCTCTGGTGGGCTTTGAAGTATCTTCGAGAGTTTTCTGGAGCTGGTATGAGGAGCTCGCAATGCTGAAAGATCTCCAAGCATGTTGAGTCCTGCGAGACGCAAGCGTGTAGCTCAGGTCCCGGATGTAGCGCAGAGAAGCCGTCTCGTCGTTGTCTTCTGATGCGAGATGATCCTTGTATAAAATCTTGAGTCTCGAAACAGCGTCGGGGTCGTTTGCGGAGAAGACAAAAATCCGTGGAGAAACATCGTTCGACTCGGCCTCGACATCACCCATGTTCACACCACTGTCCTGACGGTGGCGACCATAGGCACGGTCTGGCAGCCAGTGGGTTAGCTGAAGTTCTAACAGAGAGTGGCTGCATAGAGAGAAGCTTACGTGTGCCATTAATACTGCTGATACCATTCACCTTGACCCCATTGACTGGTCTGAACCTGGCGGGAATCCTCGGGACGGCCTCCGTTCGGTGGTTACCGACCAGACGGTGCCGCTTCAAGAAGTGCAGCGCATCATCCATAACCACGTGAGCATTACTTCCACCAACACCGAATGAATTGATGGACATCCGACGCAGACCACGCTGTGGCCATTCTGTCGGCTCGGTCGGGAACTTGAGGTTCCACGAGTCCAGGATCTTGGGGTTCCGCTTCTCATGCCAGATGTTGCCGGGGATGATGCCGCTTTCCAGCGTCAAGATGCCCTTGATGACGGCAGCAACTCCAGCAGCGCCCTCCAAGTGTCCAACATTACTCTTCAAGGCTCCCACGTACAACGGATCGGCCGGCGTCCGGTGGGCCGCAAAGATCTCGGCCAGTGCGCTCGCTTCGATGGGGTCACCCACCGGCGTGCCAGTGCCATGGGCTTCGGCAAAGCGAGTGAGGGATGGGTCCAGCCCAGCCCTAGAGTAAACGTGTCTGATAAGCGCGACCTGGCCGGCCTTGGTCGGCTGCGTGATGCCGGGCGATCTCCCGTCTTGGTTCGTGGACGAGTTCCGGATGACGGCACGGATCACGTCTCCATCCCGAATAGCATCGGATACCCGCTTTAAAACAAGGGCTCCGAACCCTTCACCGCGCGCGTACCCGTTTGCGCGGTGGTCAAAGCTGTAGGATTTGCCGTCCGGACCCAGAACACCAGCGGCGTCGAGCTTTAGTGTCATCTCGGGGGTCAGGATAAGGTTGCATCCGCCCACGACCGCCTGGGACGATCCGTCAGCACTTTGAACTCAAAACCATCCCTTCCTTCGCATTCTCTCCACAGGTTGGGCTTACCATGGAGACTTCCCGCAGCTTCAAGCTCATACAAGCTTCATGCACAGCAACCAGACTACTGGAGCAAGCCGTGTCGACTGTTACGCTCGGGCCCTTGAAATCGAAGAACCATGACACCCTGTTGCTGAGCATGCTCGCCACTGTTCCAAGCGCCGAATACTTGTTAGGGATGTCCAGATCCTTCGCGATGTGATCGTTGTAGTCTGCCGTAAAGCAACCAACGTAAACGCCGGTTTGTGATCCGGCAACCGCATCGAGAGGAATTCCAGCTGTTTCATGGCAAAAGTCAGCATCAACCCCGGCAGAAACCCAGAAGCAACGATGTTCTCGTACCATTCTCGAGTGCTTTGTATACACATTCTAGCATTCCACGCTGTTGCGGATCTATACTCTTCGCTTCCGTAGGTGTAATTGAGAAAAAGGGCGCATCGAATGCCTTGATGCTTCCCTTGAGGAAATGTCCATGGCGGACTCGTGTCTTCCCAGCTTGTCAGTCTACTGCTGCTGGAAGCTGTTAAACGGCTGTTGGGATAGATTACGCACCGCACCACTCCTCTCGGCGTCTGGGTGCCAGAACGCGTTTGCGTTGTATCGCTCACTCGGGACCTCCGTCCGGGCTGATCTTCCAGCGAGTAAGGACTCAAAAAATCGCTCAGGGGTATCGCCATCACCGGGGAGCCTTGCACTAAGGCCAACGATTGCAATTGGGTCTCCCATAATGTAAGACACTATCCTATCCGGGGTTGAAGGTTCAGCTTAGGTCTGAGCGGTGACTTGCGGTGAGCTGCGGTGTGAGGTGGTGTGGATGTGGCGGCGGATATGCTGTTGAGAGCGAAATATCCAGAGAAGTTGGAAAGACTTGGATCAGGGCTCCACGGGATGGCAGCACACTTTTACATGAAGACCAAAAAGCTTTCCGCCGTCCGAGGCTCTCGTCAACGACCTGGTTTAAAGGCAAATACCTCTCGGGGTCAAGCTTGAATGGCAAGCTCGTGACCCTGGTCGGTCGCCGATGCAGCATGCTGCAATTCATCATGCTGTTGGTACTGAGATAGACACCGATCATCCACAGCCACTGCTCAGTTGACCAAACTCAAGATAACCCGCAGGTCGCTGGGTAGGTTTTCCGTTGCTGTCTCCATACTTTCCGAAGCTGCTTGCGGGAGACTGGAGCTTGTGCTTGTCGTGCAGCTTGCAAGTTGCATTCGAGTTGGAGCTTGTCACATTTAGCCGCATCTTGCGCCAACAATGTCTGTGCCAGCGAGTCCGAGGACAAGTTGTTCCAACCCGCCACTTGAGAGTCTCGACTCAGTTGTTTGATGACGACGCACACTTTGCAAACATCCATCAGCCCATTTGAGGGTGAGGACCCTTGCATGTCCCCTGTCGCTGCACTAAGACGAAAGCAGGGCAGCCCCCCGACGTGAGGAACCAACAGGCCAGTGAGAAAATACGAGTACCGGCCGGCATATACAGTGCGGGACGACCAGAGTGCCGGGTAGGATCAAGACCCTTGACTTTCTCGAGCAAACATACATATACAATGGCATTATGACGAGGGCATTTGTTCCAACAGCTCCAGCGAGTCTAATCTCCACTGTGCAGGCAGAATATTGGCTTGCGCAGTAGTAGTACGATTCAAAGAGGAAGGCATCGTCCGGTCCATCCTGAACCGACCCGCAAGCTGCTGGCTCCTAGAACACTTTGGGAGGAGCAGCACTGCAACTAAAACGCGAAGGAGGGTGAGTTGTTCCTTGGGCTTCCTTAGCAATCATTTGGCAAGCAGAAATTCTCTGCAATGCTCCCCACGCATCGGATTGACTGGAGGATCGCGGTGGGGGAACACAAGATTGGCTTGAATCGTTTTCGTTCTGTTGCATCTCGTCGGCACCACGTGAAGCCTGTCTCATCGATGGTGTGTGAGTCGCGGCCTTGGCATGTTCCCCCTTTTCGCTGAAATGCTGCCGCGCAATTGGAATCGGGATCGAATCCCGGGGTTCCGAAGGCGATCAAAGAGATAACTACTGGGGTGCGGAAACCAATCAATGTTCGGCAGGGCGGCAGTTTTATGCTAATGCCCATGACCGCCGGGCGATAGGGGGCCGTAATCATATCTTTTGCCGACCTCCTCTCTCCGTGCCGCTCCATACACATACTAAAAGTAATGTAAGTTCATGACTAGCCGGGCTGCGACCTTCAGGTGCCGCTCGATACGTTGGAGCCGGGGGCCGGAGGACCCGCGATAAGGCCGTTATGACAAAAGTGCCGAAGAGTTTTCTCCCGCAAGCTACAAAAGGGGATCCTCCCCTATTTATCTTGTCTTCGCTCAGACATTCGCTAGGAGGTTGGCTGAGTCTTGGGCATATGAGTTATGACCACGTCAGGAGCATGTCCTGGTAAACGGCCGGCGAAGCCCAATTATATGTCGTAGTTCTCCACCATCTAGACCGGTCATTTTACCAGCGCTGAACTGGAACAAGAAAACATCCAAAGTGACAGGGATGTCGAGGGCGGCAGTGCGCTCAGTGGCACCTAAGGAAAAATAAACTACTTGCCCTAGCCCCTTTCCCCAAGCATGAAAAAACAGGACGAACCCATTCCGTCCATGGGACGACCTTGTCTATCCCGCTTCTCTTTTGCTCGTTCATTAAGTCTGAATTCTTCCCTTGCGTCTACTGCGCCTATCTGCGTCCTTGCGTGCCAGCCTGCTTGCAACCTTAGTGCATCACATCGCGCGTCGGCCGTAGACCGGACAACTTTCTCCCCCCATCCCCCCTCCCGTCCCTCCTCTTCTTCCCCTCTCTTTTCCCCTCCTTTGCTCACGGCCTTTTCGGAGCGGCCCGCAAGTTGATGGACAAGTACAACCAACTCCTGGGACGACAGCCGCGGCGTCCTCCAACGGCTGCGAACAGCGTCTCGGTCGCCTCCACCTCGACGCTCACCGCTACTTCGTCGTCCATGTCGTCCGAACTCCCCCGTAACTTTTCCACCGACAGCGCCCGGCCGCATACGCCGCCCTCTACCAGACCCTCCATATCCGTGCTGTCGTCCAAACAAGACGTATGTGCTGTCGTTTCTTATTTTTATTTATTTTTACTTCTTGGCGTGGCCCCAAACCCCAAACATGCAGTCCAAGCATGTGGTTTAGCAACCAGCAATCCTGTCTCTGTCTGTCTCTGAATAGCAATTGAAGCTCGTAACACGACAGGACTACCCTGAAGATCACCCCAGCCCGACATCTGATGAAGTCGATCGGGCGGTGTGGGCGGGAGCATCGGACTCTGACCTGGACGATTCCACCGACGATTCGACGCCGCACCCGAGCACTCGCGCGCCGTCCCGGTAAGCCTCCCTTGTGCTACACCGGTGCCAACCCCCCACTGCTGTCCATCATTGACATGGACTCTGCCATCATATCTCATGTCCAACTAACCGCCGGAACCAACGTGACAGGTCCGCTACCACACGTACCAAGTCCAAGAAGTCGATCTTCTCCTCAATCTTCTCAAAGTTCGCTAAGACTGGCAAGCGTTTTGGCTTCGTACCAAACAGCAAGGTTCGTGAACCCTCGCTTAGAGTTCAGGTTTGCCATGTTTGTGTCCGCTGACCCGAGATTTGACGACCAGGAGGAACAAGACAGAAATGGTTAGAACTTCGTCCCTTCCACCAAGCTGCGTCTCTTCCAGCCTCGTCCAACACATTTTAACCCGCAAACAGTGCTCCAACATCAGATCATCGCCGAACTCTTCGATGGTAGACTCCACCTTGCCCCGGTCGTGAAGGCCAGGGCCGTTCTGGACATTGGCACTGGGCCAGGGTTATGGGCATTAGTACGTGCATCATCACTCCCCTTCTTCCTTTACGCACGCATGAACACATCATGGAATAGCCGGCTGACATGGACGCAGGAATACGGCAAGTTCCTCATGTTGGCCTTCAAGGCCTCCTAACGTGGTCCACACTAACCCTTGTTCCAACAACAGCCAAGAAGAATCCCAACTGTGCCGTACTAGGGATTGACATTGAGAAGGTTCGCCCGCCATATTCGGTGTCCAACTGCTCGTTCAAAATCATGGACGCGACAGCGGATTGGAACCTAAACAGGCAATTCGACTTTATCCATGTCCGTATGCTTGGTGATGTGTCAGAGAAGGAACAACTCATCAAGTCTGTCTACGACCACTTGAATCCTGGTGGCTGGGCTGAGTTCACAGAGTGGATTGCCATACTCCAGTCTCCAAACCGATCCTTGGAGGGCAGCGCATTCCACAAATGGAATTTGCTGCTCCGACAAGGCCTGCAGAACATGGGACGATCTCTACACTATCCCAACCATTACCAGCCTATCTTAGAGAAGGCCGGCTTCGAGAGGATGAAGATAACGAAGCATGCTGCCCCCACGAACTCGTGTTATCCGGGCAAGAAGTGCCAAAGATTCGGTGCCATGATGACCAAGAACTGGAACGCCATCATCGAGCCGCTCAGTGTCCCGGTTTTCACCATTGGCCTCGGCTGGACCGAGCCCCAAGTGCTTGCGTTGGTTAAAGACGTCCGTGAAGAGATTGGCGATACAAACTACCATTCGTTCATGACATTGTAAGCCTAGTCCCCTGTCCCGTCCGCAAACCGGTTTGCTTGTTCTTTGTTAACCAGTCATCGCATAACAAGGCTTACGGTCTACTGCCGAAAGCCGCGTAGCGGTACATCGTCTTCTGTATCCTTGGCCAGCTCGTCACGGTCGGCAAAGGCGTCAATTTCTACTTCCAACCTCAGTTCGCATGCGGAATAAGGGTGTCAAGAAAAAAAAACTTGTGTGTTTGCTTTTACATGGAAGGGATTGGTCGGAATACCCCCACGCGGCGCTTGCGTAGAGCGAATTATGATAATCTTGGGCTTCATTATCAAAAAAGGGATGACAATCAAATATTCTTGTAATTGTCATGGCGGTTTGCATAGCCCCATTGAGTACAATCCATTGTCTGGAATCAATATACAGTGCAAACAAGGGTCCTGATCAGAGCATGGCTGCATGCATGCAGGCGCGGAGTACTTTGCAGTTGATGATCTGGGCGAGGCCATTCCCACATGACCCCCCTCAGCAGCTTAGTTCGATTTGTTGAAGAATTGGCATGCAGGCGACGTGCATCGCATCAATAGAATGCCACTCGGAATGGGGCCACTGAGGGATTTACACGTATTTGACCAATTGATCAGCAATCTGGGTTCCATTCAACGCAAATGGTCAAGCAACAACGACTTTAGCGCCAACAAGCATTTGAGAACATGCATACACAAATCGTAGAACGGATACGGCAACCCACTCCAATGCATGTGCCAGACGGCCACTTCACACGAACGGGCATGTACGGGTCGTGGAACACAATCGCCCTGCCGCTGGGCATTGCCACCGGCAAGGTGATAACCGACCACCTCCCGGATGATCTCAAGGTTTTGTTCTTCTTGCAGCGCCCTTGCCCATCCATGAGCGATCCCAACTGAACCGCACCGCTCTTCATTCCCACTCTCATCCCCATCCATTGTTCTCACTCGTCATCGCCCACGATGACTAACACAACGTACAAGACCGTCTACTCACCGTCTTTTCTCACCATCTTCTATGACAAATATGTCCTCGGCTTCAACATGAAGTACATGTGGGGGTGTCCCACGGACAACGTCCTCCTCCCCTTCTTCAGCGAGAACTTCTCGCGCAACCACCTCGATGTCGGCGTCGCTACCGGCTACTTTCCCGCCGTCGCGTTGGCGCGGCCATTCCGTGCCAACAGCAGGCAACGTCTCACCCTCGTGGACTTGACCGCGCCGCCGTTGAATGCCACCAAGACCCGCGTCCTGTCCGTGACGTCGGCTACTGAAGTCGACTGCGTAGAGGCCGACGTCACGGAGCCGCCGCCAAAGCAGCTCCTTGGCGAGCGCTATGATACTATCACCATGTTCAACCTCTTCCACTGCATGCCTGGTGGCAAGTCAAAGTTCCGTGCTTTCGGGACGTACAAGGAGCTGCTGAGTGAGGACGGAGTCCTCGCTGGTTGCACCGTACTGGGGCCTAGACAATCTACCAACTTCATTACGAGGTTTTATCTCACCTGGTATAACAAGTGGTGGGGTGTCTTCAACAACTGGGACGACAAGGAGGAGGATGTCAAGGATGCACTAGATCAGGAGTTTGAGGAGGTTGAGACTTGGGTTATCGGTCAGACCATGCTATTCAGGGCAAAGAAGCCCAGAAAAGCCTTGCTCGATGTATAAGTCATTGCAATTGGCACTGCGATGTGAGGTAAAATCGTTCGAGGTGAAGGTTGTGGAACAAATGTAGATACCTTGAGTGGGAGGGAATAATGATACCACGAATTTTGATGCAACAAGAATACCGACGCCTATGAAAATTTACCTTACAGAACTCCTCTTGCTTTGATTACACTCTAAAGCCAACTATTAGCACCAGGGTGCATAAGCCCTGCTCACTTCCAACATCTGAAAACGACGTGCGCGCGCAAGCCGTAAGCCGTAGTCTGGAAAGCCATAAATCGTTAAGCTGCTTCATTCAGTCACATGATCGATGAGGCTTGAAACGAGTTCATTTTGTCTCACGTCAAAATCCCTCCTGATTCATAATCCTGCCCTAGCCGCGACCTTGGCGAGAATAGCTTCGCCCAGAAGCCGCTAAACTCAACGGATAAAACCACATACTGCAACCTCATGTGTTTAGATTAGCGAAGGCTACATTAATTAAGCTTAAAGAAATGACCCACGCGCACGTTCGCGGCGTAGACGATCGCTGCAGATGGCTGAATGCCCGAGGGCTCCGGCTCTGCACAGGTGGTGGAGTTTTATGTAGTTTCCCGTTGCAACCCTTTCACAAGGCTGGAAATAAGCTCTGGTGACGTGAGCGGGGCGCATTTGATGGTTGCACAAAAGGTGTTCTGCTCGGTCAGCCGGTGTCTCGGTGAAGGATACCGTCCGGTGAGCGGATGAGGGGAAATGGTCAAAGTCTCAGTCATGAGCACTGTGAGTTGAGAAGATTTAAGATAAGCAATACCTCGATCAATCTCCATCTTTGAGGATCTTCAGCACATGAGCTGGGTCTGTTCGTGTCGATTGGCTAACGGATTGGACCAAAGAAATGAACTTGAAACTAACTTGGCTCTCAATTCCGAATATTACGAAAGTCGATGTCTACCCGCATCCTCTCTTGATTGCTGTGTTTTCAGATAGTGCATGCGGGTTTCGAATGTTCCTACTCAGACGTATGCGTACCCGAAAGCGCTATGTTATCTGAGCTTTTCCCCCATGCCTCATATACCACTAATTTGAGCATTGCCTCACAAAGTTGATATCCTCGAGGGTTTGGTTGTGCTAATTTTTCCATTTCTCGACGTCAGAGCTGAAGTCTGAAATCTCCCTGAGGCATACATGGCCTAGGGTAAGCCTGCAAATCTAAACTGTGTACTCGTCGAAGAAGAGCCTACAACCGTGTGAGCTTTACTAGAGTGTAATATAAGTGTAACGACATTCTAGACACGAATCAACGGAACAAAAGAGGTTGTCTTGGAAGATAGACACCCATCGCATGATAATTTTTGAATTTATATAGGGTACGCGTAGTCAATCGCCCAATTCCTTGTCAGTTTTGCCCTGGGAATGAGCCTCCAGCAACCCAATGAATGACCTTTGAAATAAAGTAAACATCTACGAGATGTTTGAGGATCATGCAACTTGAGTGCTGAATAAAATACATTCAGAAACAATTCATCATGTGATTCAGAGAATCCATACCTAGTGGTCCTGGCGTCATCAGAGTCATGACAGTCCAAGTAAGCAAGTCTATTCACGTTCATTTGCTGTCAATGGCGGCTGCTTTATTCTCAAAATTGAGTTCAGCCCGTCTATGCAATTAATATCTGCGAGTTTCATAGACGAAGTATGTTTCTCTCATGGCCGCGGTTCTGAGGGCGATGGTTCTGCGGTTCTGATTGTAACCTTCCCGCCTAGCCTGTCGGGGGCATGAGATGCTTCTGGAGAATCATTAGACTTAGTAGACTCAATCAGGCGCTGTTGCATAAACATGACACGCAAGCTGGGGTATGTTGAAAACATACCGGATATGTAAATGTCAAGGATAGGATTGGAACTTGTTGGGTCCATCTTATAAGTCTGGATCAGCTATCAAATATTAACCTCCCGGTTGCACCATCAGCTGGCAAGAAAACATTTGTTAGGGGCCTTGTTACCTACGAGGTAAATTGTAAGAATGCGCTGAAGAGAAACGTCTGAGGACAACGGCGTTCTTGAAATTTGTGACTTAATGATTCGAAGACTGTTTGGATTACGTTTGTTTCAAGCGACAACAGTCTTGAATCCATACTATATATCCCTGAAGCTATTATGCCATTAACTGGCCAGGTCCATTTCATCATGCTATGGATTCCTCGGTACCAAGTGTTTCCTGTTCGCCAAGTCAGCCTGAATGCCTAACGACAGAGTGAGGCTGCCGAAGCGACAGCCTGTTTAGAAAGTAGGGCGATCGAGCCAACCACATGTTGTTTGCAGCCCAAAAAGCCTGATTTACCACAGCTTGTAGTAGTGAAATATGCGTAAGATGATGTAGGTGGCTTAATGACATCACGAATTGACCCGCAGCCTATTTTGGAAAAGAATTTGTGCTCCTACCATCGCCTGCACTTGACTGTCAAAAGCCAACCCCATCCCCCTTACCACAGTATGTGCACACTCGGCTAAGCCATCTTCAGGCGTTTAGTATCTAGAAGTGGTATTATGACGACGTCTAACAACGATCCTGAGATGCAAACTATAACACAGGAAGAACTGGATAGAAAATCCTGGTGAGTGCGGTTCTCGATAATTGAGAACCTCTTGCTTAGCTCCCCTAAGGAAATACATAGGATATAAAGACTTTTGCGAATTTTCGGCCAATTCCGATGAATTCTTCGCCGTCCGGAGATTCGATGAGCTTCATTGTCGTCTTCTACTTGCACTTCAAGACAGACTTTCCAATTTAGAAGAAGAACTAGACACAATGGATGAAAGGCTGCGTCACCGTGGACATGCGGACATTGATAATGGTTCGTTCAGAAAAGATCAACCAGAGAGAACTGAATTACTCGAAAAGATCGGGGCGGCATTGCACAACTATGGTGGGTATCTTGAGCTAGACCCGGCCAAAAGTTTACTGACGGTGTAGATACTCTCTTGTCGCAATACATCCAGCTGAGAGGCGCACAACGAGCATCGTCAGTCACTACAAGTAACATCAAACGACGGCTGAGAAATTTCAATGCGCCAATCGAGCCGAAAGAAATTCACTACTTGGATAAAAGGGACCTCGTCTCAATATCTCCACAAGCGAAGTCGAGCGTTCAACAGATTTTCGAACAGAAAGTTGGTCTCCCAATCGTCGAATGGCTCCAAAGACAGAACCACACACATCGGCAACGAACCGTACATAATCATGCTGTCTATCTCGATGATGACAAATTCGAAATCTTCACAAGTCTCGGTCTGTATGTCGCAGCTATCACAATGCTAGCGGCACCCATGTGGATCCTTGCTTCGATGAAGGACAGCACCATTAAACTCATAGTCATCACTGCGTTCCTGTTCATTTTTGTAACAATAATGAACTGGGGTATTGTTGCGAAACCTTTCGAGATACTAGCCGCTGCCGCAGGGTGAGTCCTTCCTTTATGCTCCATTAAACACGCAGATCTAAGATTTGAATCATTCTGCCCAGCTACACCGCCGTTCTTGTCGTCTTTCTTCAGCTTGGAGCTTCTTGAACGTAAGCTTCAATCTACAGCCTTGCTACTCACTATAAATATTGCAGAGTCTCTTCTGAGATCATGAGAGAATTTCAATGAAATCGACTGTTCGGGGTGGGGGCCGGGGGCGGGTGGTGCGACATTGAAGCATGACGACACGGGTTGAACGCGGCTGTCAGTGTGAAAGCTGTGGGTAGCGTGTGTATGTGTCGATATGGACATACTACTCTAGAGCCCTGGAATTGTGTGTCTAGTGTAAATCTCAAGTCACCAAATGATGCAGATGATGTCAGATTTCCCACCACATCAACTGCAAAATCTGCAGACTGCGAAAACATTCTTATTAGCTGGCCATCTCAGGTCCCATCCGCTTGCTTCCGAGTACCACCAGGCTGGGAATTAGCTACGCCGCTTTGGCCACAGCCTCCACCTGGGGCAAAAAACATGGGTCTTCGGGATGCACTTTGGGGTCAGAAATCGGGACCGGCTTTTTTGCTCAACAATCGCCGAGGCATCAAGACCCGGGCGGATTAGCCAAATGAACACGGCAGTCTACGGTGATAAATTATACAAAGTGTGAACGGGATGCACAAGATGGATGATCTGATATGCCAAGCCTCGTGAGGCGAACTCCTGAAATCACGCCGTCAGGAGGAGTTCCGCTGTCGGAACTTTTGGGCCAGCTTGGCGGCGGTGTGCCCACCGTAAAAGCAAAAAGTTGTTGGGCTTCAACTCGGATTGACAAATGACAAGCTCGCGGTCCGTTCACAAAACGACCAGGGTCGTTGCCGCTGATCGCCATCCGAAGGGGCTGAATCACACGCGAGGTGCCAGTCGAACAGGCTCTGTGATGAGCCCCTTTTGCTGGGCTGGAAAAACTCGGCCGGGACATCGGAGCATGGCGCCACAGCCAGAAGGGCCAGCGATCGAATCGTAGAGGCAAATGATAGGATTGATAAGAAATGAGCTAGAGCCCAAGTTTTCTTTTCAGAAAGATTAAATGTCTTGCTGCCACAAGAATCCCTTGCGTCCCTCAGGTAAAAAAGGACTGATGAGGGCAGCCCACCGGGACAAGCCTGTGTTAGCGTGGGCCGGGAATTTTTCTGAGCCCGCGTGAGAACTTCGGTGCCTGCATCCCAGCCGGAAGTCTGGAGAGCCCGGAGAGGCGAACCCCGTTACCATTACCACACTGGATCGCTTGAGGTGGAAATCAGCAGCAGGCGGGGGACGGCTCGCTATGTAAGGTACCGCAGCAGCCGTATCCGTACTAGGCAGTTACTTATTTTAGCCTGTCATTCACAATTCGAACATTGGAGGCCCTGCTACACTCCATCTCGTATGTTCAAGTGATGGGGATGGGATGCAAATGACACGGCCTTGATTGGATAGCCCAGCGACGCGTGTGGAAGAGCGCCCATGCCGCTGCTCGTTTCTCGCGGCAAACAAGCAGCCAATATTTTTCTCGAAACCAAGCTTCGTTATCTTCAGTTGGCACTGAACTCTATTGGCGCAACTCTGAGTGGCCGTCTCGGCAATACCGGCCGACGAGTCCTTCATTACGAGGTCCAGTGGAGGTTGACAGCATCCTTCGCGCGCCCTATAGCAGGGAACAGCGACGTCACTGGCGACCGAATCAAACGACAGGCTCGCGGTTCATGCTTAAGAGCAATCTAAAATTCTCTGAAGGTCGGTTTTCCATACGAGATGGGGCGGTGGGGAGCCCTTAGGGGCTGCGGGCATCAGGCCTGACTCGCAAAAGCATCGACAGGGGTGTTCTGTAAATGGTCTGTTTATAAAGCTTGACGGCCGGAGCTCGATCTTCTGGTCTTGTCCTGCTCGTTCAATCAACTTCTTCTCGATTCACCAATTCCGAACATTCGTTCTAGTCACTCGCTAAAGACTCGTACCTATTCTAATATCAAAAAACACACAAAAACCAACCACTTTCTTACTTAATTTTCCACCAACCGACAAGATGTACTCCAAAACCGCTCTCGCTATCACCTCCCTCCTGGCCGCCGCTGAGGCCATTAAGGTCACCTCCCCCGCGAAGAACGCCGAGTGGGATGTCTCCGAGACCAACGAGATCAAGTGGGACTCCGTCAACACCGACCCCAAGTCTTTCGAGATCGTCGTCGTCAACCAGTCTGCCTACCCCGAGACTTCCACCACCATTGCCACCGTCCAGACCTCCGATGGCAAGTACGACCTGAAGGACGCCAAGCTCAGCGCCGGCGACAAGTACCGCATCAACTTCGTCTCCACCGACGCCCAGAACTCTGGCATTCTGGCCCAGTCTGAGGAGTTCAGCCTCACCTCTGACTCTGACGGTACGTGATGAATTTCAAGCGCAATGGCGCGTCTTTCCGAGAAGCTTGTACTGATTTTCCCTAGACTCCTCTTCCGCCTCTGCTTCTGCTTCCGCTACTGCTTCTGGCTCCGCCAGCGCCTCCGGCTCTGCCTCTGCTACTGCCTCTGCCACTGGTGCGTCTTCCTCCGGCTCGGCCACTGGCTCTGCTTCCGTCACCAAGACCGCCTCTGCCTCTGGTCTGACCACCGTGACCACCGGCACTGCTACCGCCTCGGCCACCGGAACTGACGCTTCGGCTTCAGGCACCGCCTCCGGCACTGCTACCGGCTCTGCTGCCTCTGGCACCTCCACCTCTGCTCCCAGCAGCGCCTCCGCCGTCAAGTCCACCTTCGCCATCTTCGGCTCCGTCGCCCTTGCCGCCTACATGCTCTTCTAAGCAGTTCGCCCGCGCGATCTTGTTTTATTAGAGTGATTTCTGACCGATATGATACCAACAACGCACGGCTACGAACGAAACAAGTAGCGATCACCGGCGAAGCCCATTGGAATGGGATGTAGAGAGGATTATACCACATAAAAACGGATGGGATGTCTGGCGTCGCTCTGGCTTGAGCTTGATTCAGGTTTATAGAATAATGTTGAAGCGTTGCTACTGGACTCCCTCCATCTATTTGCGCCTCGATATCTGACCTTGTGTGAGACACCGCATTCGCGCGACCAACGTTCGCGAATAACCCATCCCACTGGAACCTAACGGGACCCAAACCTGAACTTTCCCGCTGCCATGCTTCCAGGATGCAGGCGCTGCACGCGGAGATGAGCGGATCCATCCCGCTTGACCTAATTGTCGAAAGTCTCTGGGAAACCCCACTATTCAATTGAGCTCGTAATTATGGATATGGAATGAAGGCACCTAATTCGAGACTCTTATGCGGCACAACCCTGCCGTTCCCCTGAGCACTCGCCTTAACGTGCTGTCATGGCGTTTGATGACATGCCCAATTGGGATTGACGGCCGGGTTCCGAGCTAGGATTATGCCAATCAGGCGTGGCACCCCAACCGCGACTCGACGAAATCGCGTCGGTTCACCTGGGGAAAGGGCGAGTGTAGATCGCGATCAATACGAGAGCAAAATTCGGTCTGGATAGTTCGAAAGCAAACGGCAAAGTACGATCGACAGACAGGTGTGCATCCTTCGGCGTCAAAAACTTGTGAACACTATTGATTTTGATGAGTGAGCTCTCTTCCCTGCGTGTGGATCCTCGAAGCTTCAGTGATGCACTGCGAATTGTCCTTCAGCACAGATACACTGCTGTTCATCAATGCCCATGCAGCGATAAGGCTGAGGAAGAACTGGAGACGAGAGGCTTATCTTAGCGTCCGTGGATTCCGAGCTTTCTGAAGAGCCTTTTATCGGTAATGATGATCGGCGAGCTTGGAGGTTGACTGACAAGTCAAGCACGGGCATCACGGCACGGAGATTTTTGTCTGTGCCATCCGAGGAGTTCGGTTTCCTTTGAATTAATTGACTTTCAATAATTACATTGTGTTCAACATGAATGCAAGGCTTGCGCTTCAAAATGTGTTTTCTCTAATGTCCATGTTTCCGGGGGATGATCACCTCGTAGTTGATCTACGACCGATCAACTGCGTGTCAAAAACCAACTCGTCCGGGCGCATCTTGAATGATCTAATTTTATGTCTTTCTTCATGTGCAGCTTGTGTGCGATTTCAAAAGAAAAAAAGCGGCATGCTCAACTCTACAGCGATACTCACGAGATTATGGGGGTCCTCGGCTGCTCTTTGCAGATGACTGGTCATCTGAAGGATCCAACAGCCAATCCGTCTGCCAAGTCATTAGGGCCCATCAGACAATCGCGTCAGAAGGTTCTGGTTTTATTATTCAAGCCGATCCCACGTGCTCATTCGCCCATTGGTAACACACATTGCTGGCCAAAAGAAAGCTTCTAGGCTTGGAGCGCCAAGCCAACCGTTGTGCGCCCCAGGCTGAGACTAGCTTCCCGACATAAATTAGATCAAACAGAGTCATTTCAATTTCGTAAAAAATTGTACTTGAAGCTGAAAATGATCGGTTCCTTTCCGATGCGAGTTCTGGTTATTGGCTTCACATCTGGTTCAAATTCAAACGCCCTTGAGTTCTGAATTAAGATCGCACAGCTGCATTGTGGTGTCTAACAACGTTCTGCAAGGTTGCGCTTAGGCTCTCTGCATCTCATGTGAGATTTTCAATTATTGACACTGGATTTGATTTGTTTTCGCATTTAGGTGGCCATTACTATGCTCTTTCTCAGCTGTGATGCGGTCCCCAACGCCACAAAGCCTCAGTCTCGGATCATGTCTAGGCCATCCTACAGCCAACCTTGAAAGTCTTAGCGAGACACATATGAGTGATCGCTCGCCTGGCTGACTAGATTTCTTCTTCCCGCTTTTAATGAAGCCAGGAGAACCCATCCTTTTGCTGACCTCCATCAATTCTGCTGGCTTCTCAAAAATTAACGGTCTCCCCGCACGTAGGCCAGGTGACTATGGAAGTTAAGAAATAGGGCGGTGTCGACGGACCGCTTACGCCACTCCTTTGGAC